AATTTTTGAATAAAAACGTTGGTTTTTGAACAACTTGAAACTATGTAAAAAAATATTTTCAAAAACAATAGTAATTTTTGAAATAATGAGTGTTCAATGGTAAAAGAATCACCCAGTATATATATATACAATGTGTTCYGGGGCTAAGTGACCGGTCGCCGTCATACAAAAATATACCTAAAATGATGAAGAAATAACCATTTAAGTGGGGAGTCTAACTCTTTTATTTGTTAAGTTATGGGCAAATTTAAGTTTTTTTTTAAACCWAGACAAACCTACCACAGATTTTGTATGTTTCTCCAAAACTTTTCAACATTTTAACATAATTTTTTTTTAATTTCAAAGCTATTTAATTATCCTATAAACCAGTGGTCGGCAACCTTCTTAGACTCCCGGGCCACATTCATAAATTAAAAAAAGTTTGYGGGCCAGACAAAAATAAAAATTTTATATTCCAAATTATTTACTAAGAAAAAAAATAACTGTTAAAATATATTTATACAATATGATTTTTTTTGATATGATATTCAATTAAATTTCGTTTTTGTGGAATTTAAAGCGGGCCATATTCATTAGACTCGCGGGCCGCCGGTTTCCGACCATTGCTAAAAACCAACATACACAATTAAACCAGAATTGTGTAAATTATTATTATTAAATTGAAAAAAAGTGAAAATACCTTATAAGTTTGGTTTTCATATCTTTCATAATCGCAGAGTTATACGCTTCTAAACATTACAGTTCTTTTGTGATTTTAATKATTGGCAATTTATAATTTTACTAAACATCAAGTATAAATTGGGCATAAACTCACTAGAGACTGATGACAATCGATATCCTAAAACGGATCTTTCTGGATATCAAAGCCTATACTCTTGCACAGCGACTTGAGCATTGCCATTACAAATTCCATACACAAAATGCATATCAATAATGTGACCAAATGATAAATCAAATAACCTTGGCATTTTGAAACTTTACAATTTTACTAACAAATTAGTAATTTGATAAAAAGTCTAGGTATGGATGTCAAAACGACTAAAATGTACTGAAGAAAACAWAATGACAACATAACTAAAATTTACTGAAATAAATAAAATTAAATGATTAACAAGCGATATTCGATTCTAAAAAAATAAGATAGTGACCATTAACAACATATAACTTTGCGATTATGAAAGATATGAAAACCAAACTTATAAGCTATTCTGGGTATTATTCAGTAGAATAATGCACAAACAAAAAACCCTATACTAAATATTGAATTATTATGAGTAATACTAGATTTATTTTTAAAAAGTCCAACTTTTKATGAAAATAATTTCACTTTTTTCAATTTAATAATAATAATTTACACAATTCTGGTTTAATTGCGTATGTTGGTTTATAGGATAATTAAATAGCTTTGAAAAAAAAAAATTATGTTAAAATGTTGAAAAGTTTCGGAGAAACATTAAAAAAATCCGTGGTACCTAGATTTGGGTTGGTTTAAAAAAACTTAAATTTGTCTATAACTTAACAAATAAAAGAGATAGACCCCACTTTAAAGGTTATTTCTTCATAATTTTAGGTATAATGTCGTATGATGGCGGCCGGTCACTTCACCCCAGAACACATAGTATATATTATATCTATTTAAATAAGTAATGTTTATGTTTCCTATCTATACTACATATTCCTCTATAATTTATCAAGAATTTTACTTTATACAATTTATGAAGCATTTAATATGATTTTTACATTTTTCTACTGTTGAAAATTTGAATTAGACACTTATAACCTTCTAACTAAAATCAGAATAAAGGTATTCTTAATACCTAGGTATAGGTAATGTTTTTTAAACAATAGTTTGAAAATTTGTAAATATATTTGATTTAAATATTATTGTATGTGTTATAGTTAAAGTGTTGAC